TCTGGCACCAAGGAGACTGATAGGCTACAATTAAGCATAAGTGGTGGAGACCCAGAGGCACTGATAACAGGCTGCGCATCAGGTTCAAGGGCCACATTTTGATGCTCAGCACTGGTCATGGGAGCATCAAGCAAGCAAGGCACTTGCTACCACTGGCACCAGTTCCTGGCGAACCATGTCCAGGTGCTGCTGATATGCAACAAATCTTACTGTGCTGAGATAGCTCACCAGGTCTCCTCCCAGATCTGCAAAGGCTTTGTGCATAGAGCAGCAGGGCTGGCCACCTCGTCACCAGCCCCAACGCTGTGCTGCACATCGAAAGAATAAACAGCCAGCCCATGAGCCCATTTACTGTGTTAATAAACCCAAGAAATTAACACAAAAGCAAACAAAAAAAGGGACCTGTCCAGGAATAAAAGTACACATCCAGACAGAAATGTTCATAGCAGCATTATTCATAGTGGAAACAGTCGAATAACCATCCACTCATGAATGCATAAGCAAAATACCACATATTACATAGCCCATTTTCAAGATGTCTAGAATAGGCACATTTATAGAGACAGAAGGTGGGTTAATGATTGACGGGGTGAGGGAGATTAGGAAAATGGGGAGAGATAGCTAGTGGATATAGGGTCTCTTTTTGGGAGAAATTCATCCTGGTTTGCCTAAGACTGTCATGGTTTTAGTAATGATAATCTTCTATCTTGGGAATCCCCTTGATCTCAGACAAACTAGGATGATTTGGGGGAGAATTGATATCTTAACAATCTATGTTGTATCTCTTTGTTTATGTAAGTATTCTTAATTTCTCATAGCAGTGCTTATAATTGTTAGTGTATAGCTCTTTTGTTCCTGAGAACTTTTTGGTTTTGAATGCTATTAGAAGTATTTATTTAAAGTAAACTTTAGGGCCTCCCTGGTGGTGCAAGGGGTTAAGTTTCAGTGTTATCAAGCTATTCGCAGCCATTGTAACACAAGTTCGATCCCCACCCAGGGAGCTGACCCACATGGTGCAGCAGACCTCTCTTGTGTCGCCTGCTGCTCCCCTCAGCAGTGTATTCTAGTTCTACTCCCTACTCTGTTCTACTCCCTACTCTGCCTCTGGTGAATCTTCTCATACCTCTGCCCACCCATACCTCTGGCCTACACTGAGGTTCTTGTATTCATAATTTTTTAAAAACCAGCAGTGGTTCCTTCTGAGGGTGGGAGCAAAAGTGACTGGGAAGGGATAAAAGGGAACTTTTTAGAGTAATGGTAATATTCTAAATCTTGCTAGGAATTTGAGTTACACTCTTTTTTTAAAAAAGCATACATGGTCCACTAATGGCTTGTGCGTTTCACTAAATGTTTCACCTTGAAATTTCCACTAGCTGCTAAACCACGGAAGATGCCCTACTGCACCCCTACTCCTCACCACTGCTACATCTTCCCCCAGGCCACTCCCTAAGCCACAGGATGAGACAGACATTTCAGGGACTTACCCAACTCTTAGAACATCAGCTACCAGGTACACCTGAACCATTCCTCCTGGCCCACATCAGACCCCAGAACAGACTCTGAAATCAGTCATTCACAACTAGCATAAGTTAGTAACTCACTTCTCCAGGACGCTTGCTACCTCTCTGTGTTCCAAGATGTCCCAGGAAGCAGGCAGGAAGGGGATGAGAAACAGAGGGAAGATCCTCTCCTCTCCTCCTCTTCACCAGCCTGACAGGCCCAGATTTCAGGAAACTCCCAAAAGCACACACCAGGGAACTTTTGGCCAACTAAATCAAAGGAATAAGGAATAAACTACACACATCTTGAGACAGAAAAGACTCTGTGAACCATTCACCTTCCAGAACCTAACCTCCCGCTATGCTATTCCCTCTGGAACTGAATATGCAGGAAACAGACTGACTCCATTTTCTTCCTGAGAACATGCAACTTGGAATGAAAGATGTACTAAATCACGAAGAAGAGTACCTGACACATGAATGAATTCGTGAAGTAGGAAAAAAAGCTGAGGCATTTTTATTCAGCGAGAAAGGGCGAAGGTGGAAGAAGGGTGTTGAGGGTGGGGGAAGGTTGAAAGAACAGGAACAGCTCAGCTATAAACTTCAGAAGGGAGCAAACTTGTTTAGTCAAGTGGCCTTCCCTCCATTACCCCAGGAAGCCATCATTAACCTTTCACCTCCTCCGAGGTGTGGTCCTGGAATAACAACTGATTCACCCAAACAAATACAGGTGTCCTCATCCCTGCCATCTGCAGAGGCTCCGCTTGGTAAGCAGATGTCTCCACCAGCTTCCGAAGCTTACCCCCTTTCAATTGTTAATGTCATTTGCTAATAAAAAAAAAAAAAAAAAACTTTGGGTTGGGGCACAAAGAAGAGTTCTGGTTATTATGCTAAAGATATAATGTCCCATCTTTCTAAGGAAATATTTTCAGCCTGCAACTCTTTCTCTCACAGCAGGAAGATGAGGTAGAAAAGAAGAGGGGAAGAAAAGACATAAAACTTGGAGAAAACAAGCTCTTACAAGCCTTAAATGCAGATATGTACCTGTGTCTCAATCTTATTCCTATCTGTTGGGCCCGGGAGCTTCCTATTGTTATCCAAGAGCCTCGATCCAGAAGCCCAGGAAAGCACAGCTTATGGTGCCTGACCTTAAATAGCGCTTCTTCTAGTCTCTGCATTTTGTCAGAGATGGCCAGCAACAACCTCTAAGCTCCAATGGTTTTACATGGAATAAGTGAACCTTTTTTTAAAAATCTACAGCAAAGAGATCAAAATGATCTGATCAAATTGATCTTTTGTGTGTTTTTTTTTTCTCTAGTGCTCTGCTCTTTCCCACAAAGTAACAAGAAGAATGAAATAGGTGCTCAACTGTTCCGTGCCTTCCTGGAGATCCATTTTAGCTTCTGAGAGCCAATGTTGCCCCATTCAGGAAAGCAAGCCCACAGCAGTGTCTGATTCCTTTGGGGAAGGCAATTCTTCGTGCCTTCCCCACTTCCCCCCATCTTGTGCCTAACATGGCACAAGAGCTGTCTTGACGCCTTCTCTCCTTTGATCTGACCCTAGGATTTCGAAACTAGTAATTAGCAACCCTATTCAAAACAAGCTGTCCCTACTCAGCTGCATCCACTGACCAGTGTCAAATAAGGTCTTTCTCCACCTTGCTTCTCCAAAAGTCCACTGAATTGTCCAAATTCTAATCAGGGCTTTGCTAAAAACCTCACAACCATTCCTGCCCAGAGGGGACCCAGAGGGACCTGGGATGGTGATTCAAGTGTCAAGAGCACAGTGTCACACATGTAGGGTTCACTGCATCCTGCCTGACTTGTATGACATCATGACCTAGTGGGCAAAGACTTGCACCAGCTGGTGACACATTCATTTTGCCTATTGTGCCTTTCAGAGGGCAGAAAACAGGACCAGCCGAGGAAGCAGCACACACCACAGCTCACTGAACCCCGGGTAGTGGCATCATGGCAGCCCCCAGCTCAGCACAAGCCCTCTCTTATTTCAGCCTCAGGTTTAGACCCCCACACTCCATCCACTCCCTCTCTGCAATATACTCTATGCTCAATCTTTGAAAGGGGGAGGGGGGGTCAGAGAATGCAACTGCTAATTCAAACCAGAAAACCCGAGGACACAGAAATGAAAAGGGTTTTTCATGCAGCCTGTCTGAAAGACCCCTTCCCCTGTGAGAATTTTGGCTTGGCTACTTGGCTCAATACTTTCAGGGCCAGACATCTATTTTCTTCACTCCTGTGAGTAAAAGGAGATGAAATATATGTATGTGGCTTTGTAATGAGCTGGTTTTGCTTTTAAGGGAAGGAAAGGAAGGGATGAGGCCCCAACACTCCAGACAGAATGGGCATGCACGGAGGTGAGAAGCCAACGATCCTCCCTCACTATGCTGTCAGGATATGGCGACCTCATCCTAAGCAAGTGCTTCTTGCTGCCCTGTTCTCTTCACCCTGGCAACTAAGACAAATGTTTTCTTATTTGTTTGTTTGTTTTTAATTTGCTGCTCCTCCTCTAGAGGAGGTGGATTTATGGACTAACACAGAAAGGGTTCCCTGGTAGGAGTCAAAATTCAGGGCTGGAACAAGTGGTGACTTGTCAACAGCACCATCAGATGGTCCTCAAGACCTCATATAAATGCACGCACAAAACTAAGCTGTTACAGGGAGCTGCTGTAGCGGTGTGGGTCAGGGACCATTCAGTGGTGCAGTGTTTTGTGGCTCAAAGGAGAAGCTATTTTACCTAGGGGGGAAAGGGGGTGGGGTGGCGGAAAGCATCCTGTCTTGTTTTCTAACCCACGGATTCTCTGAAAAGACTGGAAAGATGGGGTTCTCTCAAACAAGCTAATGGCATGGGATGTGTCCAGAGCGCCATTTGTCATTTCTTTTCCCCAAGCAGTTAAGGACTTTCAGCTCGGACCTGATCTAAGCCCACTACACTACCCCACTACCCAGTACAGCAAGACTGGAAGACCATAGACTATTGTCCACTCCGAGCCCGTAATTTAAAAGAAAAAAAAAAATCAGCAGCCAGTTCAGAATTGATTCTGATCAGATTCTGGCCAGTTCTTGGTGTACCCCTCCGAGTGCCCCTAAGCGCGCCCTCCCCCAGGCCCCCAAGCTAATACAGTAGACCGCCTGTCCGTAGCTCTAGCTCCCCGGGTCAAAGTCCCTTTTCCTGGAAAGTTCCTTCAAGCAAGAAAGAACCTGTGTTGTGCCTTGACTGAAAGACTGCGAACTGAGACACCCGGGTTTGGCCAGGGAAGCGGACAAGCAGGTCTTGGGGATCGAGGACGCGCCAGAGCCCCAACGGGTGGGAGTATCTTGAGAAGTCGGACCTCTTCCGGTCACTGGAGTTTAAGAGGTCTCCCACGCCCTTCACCCCTCTCCCCCCAAATCCCGCTCCCCCAGAGTTGGGCCTGGGGACTACAGACGTCCCAGTGGTCCAGGCGCGCGCGGGGCTCCCCTCCGCTTTGGGCCCCGCACTCACCCACCGCACTGATGCGGAAGCCGCGCGGGGGGCGCAGCGCCCGACGGCACCAGGCTTCGCGCAGCACCTGCAGACAAGCCGGGGGTGCGTGCACCAGCAGCACCCCGCGCCGGAGCCAGCCCAGAAAGGCCAGCCGCGAGGCGGCGCGCGCCAGCCGCGAGTTCCAGAAACAGCGCGTATTGGCCCGGCGGAAGGCGCGGAACACCGCGCGCCCCCCCGGCTCCTCCGCGCCCCCCGCCGCCTCCTGCGCCTCCAGCCTGCACAGCACCAGCGCCAGCGAGCCAGGCGCCAGCTGCACCGACGGGGCCATGCTGCTGCGGGCTCCCGGGGCTCGCCGCCTACCGCATCGTCCCGCGCAGCCCGGACGGTCGGAGGCGCCGCTACCCGGGCAGGCGGGATCGGCTTACTGCGCGCGGCGCCGGCTGCCGGGGAAACGGGGCTCCAGGGGGCGGGGTTGACTGCATTCTGCGGGGCCAGGGGTGGGGCGGGACTCGCAACTCTGCGGAGGCCACTGCTCTCGGCCGCGAGGCGCCCAACAGGGGGTTGCTAAAGCTGAGCTCCTGGGCCATTCTTCATGCCCCGGCCAGGGCTCGGCCACCCCTCGCTCTGCGACCCCCTTCACTTCCCAGTTCCCTGGAAACTCAGAGTCCCTGTCTTTTCCCCAGCCGTGGCCTTGTTGGGGCTTTTCTTAGTCGTGAGAGTACTCCGCAGCTCCCAACCCCCACTAGAACCAAACAGCTTCCAAACGCGGCGTAAACTGTACAGCCAAGAGTACCTGGAGCCAAGATGACTTGAGTGGCCGTTGTCGCCCTTGCTTTGGGGGTCCTTCTCAAGGAGCCATGCCCTGGGGGACTTTTCTGGGTGTCGTGAACACTAGAACAGGGAGCCCTGAGAGCCAGGTCTGAGTCTTTGTCTGCCTCCGTTTACACACGTTACTTCCTTTCTCTGAGTCTCAGTGTAGGTCCTATAAAATGTGGGGTTGGAACTCAGTTCGAAGGACTTTTTCATCAGCACTTTTCTGCGGTTCTAGGATCTTGTCTCGCCCTTAAGATGCCCTGCATACTTAAATAAAGTGTTCCCCATCCGGGAGGCACAATGGCAAAATCGTGCCATTCAGCCCAGGCTTGGATCTGGAAATTCTGAAAAGTCGAAAAACCATTTTGCCGCAGAAGTGAAGGTGACGTGTGGTCACCTGTCACAGCAGATTGTAGCCAGTGACTTAGAACCATGAGGGACAACTCAGATGCAGCGGGACAGAGAATGGAACACTGAGTCGGTGCTCCTCCAGGGACATGGGGGTAGTTAGAAAGCGTGTTATTGCTGACTGCACTGTATGAGGGAGCAGAGGTGGTTGGCAAGACGGGGTCACTCCAGACTTTCCACCTATGACAACTCCAGATGATCTATGTACTCTGTTCCTAGCAAGTTATTATGACCAAAAATTATAGATGCTGTTCTTAAATAACAGTAGCTAAAATTTATCGAACGCAATATATTGGGGGCATTAATATCATAACTCTGAGTTAACGACTGCCAGTATCTTTATTTCCTGACCGGTGAGGAAGTTGCAACAAGGTTTAATGAAATGTCCTCCACCTCCCGCATGAACACAAGGAAATACAGTGGTAGTTCACAGATGATATGGTGGTGGGAGAATTATGGGGACTACAATGATGTAAGAAAAAAATTACTTAAAAAATCAAGTAGGCCCTCCCTGGTGGCGCAGCGGGTTAAAGCACAGCACTGAGAAGCTAAAGCCACTTCCGCATGAGTTCGATTCCCACCTGCCCAGAGGTGACCACATGGTGTGGCAGACCTCTCCTGACCCACCCGCTGCTCCCCTCAACAGTGTACTTCGTTGATCTGCCTGTTCTGTTCCCCACTCTGTCTCCGGTGAAGCCTCTCACTGCCCCTGAGCCTCTGGCCTGTACCCCAGTTCTGTATGCACAAATAAATAAATCTTAAAAAAAAAAAAATCAAGATAAGGCCCCTCCCTTATCTTGGTGCACTGGGTTAAAGCACCACATTGTGAAGCTCTCCAAAGCCATTGAAGCACCAGTTCGATCCCCAGGGAGCTGACCCACATGCCATGGTAGATCTCTTCTGACCCACCCGCTGCTCCCCTCAGCAGTGTATTTCAGTACATTTGCCTGTTCTGCTCCCCACTCTGTGTCTGGTGAATCTCTCACCCCCACACCTCTGGCCTGTACTCCAGTTCTGTAAGCATAAATAAATGAATCTTTAAAAAAAATGTTCTCTCCTCCCACAAAGAAATGTTTCCCATCACCCAACTACAGTAAAACCTGATAGATACATGCTTGGACTCTGTAACTTTATGCAAAACTACATACAATAAAACTAAGTTTACTGTACACTAATTGATGTAAACAAGTGTTAAGTTCTTACAGAATATTTTCAGTCACAAAAAAAAGCATCAAACTTCTAAAGGCCCTAAAACAATGTAAAGGTTTTTTATTCATTACTTTTCCAACCAAATTCTATTAGTCCAGGGGGCCTGTTCAGGCAGCTGAGGGCACAGGCACAAACCAACCCTGGACAGGCTGCCTTCCATCATGAGACACACTCGCACACCCACATACTTGCTCAGACTAGAACAATCGAGACACACCAAGGACCCTAACATGCCCAACAACTTTGGGTTAGAGAAAACCAGAGCACTGAGAGAGCCCAGCACACACAGGAAGACTGCAAACTCCAGACAGAGAGTGGACCTGCTAGAAGTCTATTTCCTCCCCTGCAGCACCCCACCATCCCCAACCTATGTTATAACTAAATAACTGAGATGAAATGACATTACTCATCAACCTTTGTGATAAGAAGTAGAGTCAGGCTTCTTTATGATAAATGTCTGCAATAGTTTCCAATTCAAATAAACATGCAAATGTGAATCGGCACTCTCACATTTGAAGTCTGACCTGACAGATAGAAGGTTAAATACAGCAGAGTGCTCAAATGAAATAAACCTGTACACCTGTATAATCTCCACATGGAGGGCAATGTTTATCCTCCTCCTAGTTCTCAGGGCACTCACCTTAAGGATCAAGGATGACTTACCTGGGTTCCCCATGCTGGAGAACTATGGTTTTTATCTCCATATCTTTCCTTTAATAATCAGGATGATGATAATTTCCATTTACTCTCAGCACACTGTGTCTAGAACTGTACTAAGAGTCGTAGACAGGTAATGTGATTGTACTCTCAAAACCAACTCTCTGAAAGGGATGCTATTATTAAACCCATCTTCCATAAGAGAAACAAAGCTTAGAGATTCAGGCTGCTTGCCTGTGGGAACAAAGCTTATAGATGATCAGCTACTCCTTCCCCTAAATATTCCCAAATTCTCATAAAATGAAACTGGTCTTAAAAGTTAAATGAAGGCCCTCCCTGGTGGCGCAGCGGGTTAAAGCACAGCACTAAGAAGCTAAAGCCACCTCAGCATGAGTTCCATCCTGGCCTGCCCCGGAGGTGACCACATGTCACCGCAGACTTCTCCTGACCCGTCCGCTGCTCCCCTCAGCAGTGTACTTCATCAGTCGGCCTTCTTGCTCCCCACTCTGTCTCTGGTGAATTCACTCACCCCTACACCTCTAACCTGTACACCAGTTCTGTATGCATAAATAAATAAACCTTAAAAAAAAAGTTAAATGAGATACTATAACTCTCCAAAGAGAAATCCCATACTTGGTTAGAAGAGGGGCAAGGAAACTATGGCCCTGACTACTGGCCCTGCGGCCTGGCTCTGAGCTTGATTCTCTCTCATAATTTAAACTGGAAGTATACAGAGGCAGTCACACTCTCACTAGCAGGACTGTACCTGCGTCCATACTGTGAGGTAACCCTGACTGTGATAGTATGTGAGCTGAATTTACAAAGTAGAACTCTCCCAAATTAAAATACAGTGACAAAAGAAAGAAAAAAACAAATGAAGATGAATTGTCTTAGGCAATGGAAACTTTTGTTCATATGTGCAAATTTTCTTTTATTTTACTTCAGTGAGTTCAATGAATGAAAGAAGGGGGGGAAATACAAAGAGGAAATTTTTAGTGACATCCAAATACTTATCCACTTGTTTTCGGAAAGGATGAGCCACCTCACCCATCAAATATTCCCAAACTCTCATAAAATGAAACAGATCTTAAAATGAGATGCTATCACTCTCCAAACAGAATGGTTTTGTATTATTTGGCAAAACCAGAGAAACAGGAACATCTCAAGGTCTTTTCACCTTTGGTCTGCTTTCTGCAGGCCAGACACACAGATGGTTAGAGGATAGATTTGGTATCATCCTCCTCTTAAAGAGGCAGAGTGGTTCAACTGAACAGTAAACTAAGAAGTCTGAAAATGAAGTGGGGAGAGAACACAATGGACTATTGTGGTGGACTATTGTGGTGAACTCCATGTGATCGGTGGGGGGACACTTTGGTCACAGCGCTGGAAAGGGATCATGTACTTCTAAAATCCAAGTAAAAATGTAGACAAATGTTACCTCAACATAAATAAATAAATAATTTTAAAAAGAAGAGCATGGTATCCCTCTGGCTAATCGAACACCAAATAATAAATCTTCATCAAAAGTAAAAAAGAAAAGACATCTAAAAACTGGGATTTTTTTTTAATATTCTGTATTTTCAGTGGGTTCTGTACCTGAGAAAAAACAAAGTAGTCTAACATTACATATAAATCTAAGCAGTCGTTAAAAAATTGAGACAGACAAAAAAATACAACCACCAAAAAAAAAGAGGTAAATTTAAAAAGATCAAAAAAAGAAAAAGGCATGAGGAAAAACAACAAAAAGACTGAGACAGAACTTTTTGTACTGATGCTAAATAATATTCCAGATTAATTCTTTATGTTTATTATTTTTTTATGCATACAAGAACTGGGGTATAGGCCAGGGTGCAGATATGTGGGGTTTAGAGGACTCACCAGAGAGAGTGGAGAGCAGAACAGGTGAACTGACTGAAAGGTCTGCTGTGCTGTGTGGGTCACCTCCCTGGTGGAGGATAGAACTCACTGCAGCAGCTGTGGATAGCTTCACAGTGCTGAGACTTTACCCCTTGTGCCAACAGGGAGGCCCTCAGATGTATTTTTTTTAACTTATTTATTTATGCATATAGAACTGGGGTACAGGCCAGAGGTGCAGTGGGTGAGAAGATTCACCAGAGACAGAGTGGGGAACAAAACAGGCTGATCAACAAACTACACTGCTGAGGGGAGCAGCGGGTGGGACAGGAGAGGTCTGCCACACCATGTGGGTCATCTCCCTGGCTGGGGATGGAACTCAAGCTGCAGTGGCTTCAGAGAGCTTCATAATGTTGTGCTTTAAC